GGAGCCGATGTACTGCTTCAGCTGCTCCTTGAAATCGGCGGCGGCACACTGAGCCGTAGTGGCGCAGCCCCTACCTATAAGCTGTTGCCCGCCTGGAAAAAGAAAAAGGAAAATAACCTGTTAAATAAATACATTTAAATTCATAAATAAATGCTAGCATGAATAATAGGAATTATTAATAATTGTTTATATTTATAATGCACATTCCATCCGAGGATACTCCACATCCACTTCAGTGAACACATCACCAATGCCGAGGCCCGGCATCCCATGAAAAGATCACGCCAGAGCCCTGCACGGGACTGGAGTCATTCTCGGGGCAGACCACGGCCTGACGTGGACACGCACGGTCGAGGCCGTTCTTCGACACCGTGGCCTTGGCTTGCATTCAGCGTGGCGGCTGGCGCAAGATAGAATTGCCTGGTGGCGGCGTATGGAGACTGCCACGCCCCGAGGGGCCTGCACATGATGATGATGATCCTCCGATCCCAATTGCGCATTGCATGAAGAGCAGGGGCGGGGCGGCAACGGACCCAACTAGAGAGGAAAGATCTTGACTTGAATCTTTCGTGACTGCAGGAATTCATATTCTTTGGGTCTTTCAGTAAAGTCATGTAGATAGGTTCAAAATAAAAAATAAAAAAACATGCTCTGATAACACTGTAACAAAAAATATATATATTTTGTCCCTGGGTAGTGTTATTTTCTAATTTCTTATGCCTCAAGTACAGAAAATGGCTATATTTCCCCACAAACTTTGCTTTTGTGACCAGGACAGTGATTTTTTTAAAATTTACCTATTTTCAATGAGAATTCCAGATAGATTCAGTGCTGAGTAAATTTGGAGTAACTTCTAGAACATTCTAGAACTTTCCAGTAATATAAATATTACTATAAATACAGCTGCCTTCAGCCCACCAGTTCAGTTTAGTTCCAGCTGCTTAAGTAGACACATCTGCATCTTTCTGAGATGCCATAAAGAGGCTGCAAGCATCCGGCAGACACATTTTTCTATGTCTGCGGCCAATTTATAAAGACAAGAGCGAAAAAGTACTATGTGGAAGCATCTGCTAAGATGTGAGGCCTACAAGGCATATTTCGGCATGCCTGTTGGGGATTAAGACAAACTCTGGGGACCTGATTTCACCTGCGAGCAATGCAAAAAAATTGGAAGGGAAGATTAACAATTGTTGCTCGGAATTTAATGTTATAAAATTTGTAAAAATGTTTAAATTGTACAAGTTTAAATTTTAAAATGTTTTACAATTTTTAATGTTATTGAAAAAAATATATAATATATGAAAAATGTTGCGAGAATCTCTTGCATAATAGTCATTGGTGAAATAAATTTATTTTGTAGGATGGTACAGAGGGGAAACGAGAGCCATGAAGTTCGCTATCTCAAGAATTTGGCAGGAAATCACTGACCACTCAAGCAACTGCTACATCTGCATGGGGGACCCTTCCAAACGTCGAACTGGCAAGAATGCACCTGCTATCACGTATCTGTAACTTCCTTCATCCAGCGCCCCGATGTCACACTGTCATGAGCTCCCCGTACCCACTCCTCTGGAGAGAGAGCAGCCGTCTTTAGAAGATAGCAGCAAGTCAGAGAGCGAGGAAGACGTTATAGATCCAGATGCCAATTTCAGAGGTGGAGCTGAGGAGATAAACCCATACTACCCCAACCAAAATATCTCAACGACTTGATCAGAGATCTTGGTCTTACCAAGTCCAATGGCAAGCTTTTGACGTCTAGGCTCAAGCAGTGAAACTTGTTGGATGCAAGTGTGCAAGTCGCAGATCAGAGGAAGCGTCACCAACGTTTTTGCAGCTTCTTCACCCGTCAAGATGGGCTTTGCTTCTGCCACAATGTGACCAGTCTGTTCGAGGCAATCGGAATCGCCTGTAACCAAAATGAGTGGCGCCTCTTCATTGACAGCTCATCCAGGAGTCTCAAAGCCGTGCTGCTCCATAATGGTAACAAGTACTCGTCTCTTCCCCTGGCTCACTCGGTGCACCTCAAAGAGGATTACAACAGCATCAAGACCTTGCTGGATGCCTTGAAGTATGATGAGTACAGCTGGGAGGTCATCGGAGACTTCAAAATGGTGGCATTCCTGATGGGTCTTCAAGGCGGTTTTACCAAGTTTCCCTGCTATCTTTGCCTTAGGGACAGCAGGGACACCAAGGCGCACTACCACAGGCGCGGCTGTACACAGCGGACCGAGTTCTCTGTGGGGAGGAACAACATCAAGTGGGAGCCACTGGTGGACCCCAGGAAGGTGCTGATGCCACCACTGCACATCAAATTGGGCCTTATGAAACAATTTATCAGAGCTGTAGATAAGGAGTCAGCATCCTTCAAGTACCTTCAAGACTTCTTCCCTAAGCTGTCTGAGGGAAAAGTCAAAGCCGCTGTCTTCGTCGGACCACAGATAAAGAAGATCCTGGAGTGCAATGAATTCCCCAAGAAGCTCACGAGTAAGGGGAAAGCGGCTTGGGACAGCTTTGTCACAGTGGTTCGGGGCTTCCTGGGTAATCACAAGGCTGAAAACTATGTGGAGCTGGTTGAGAATGGTGAAGAACTATGGCACAATGGGCTGTAGAATTTCCCTCAAAGTCCATATCCTTGATGCTCATCTTGATAAATTCAAAGAGAACATGGGAGTGTACTCGGAGGAGCAAGGCGAGCACTTCCACCAGGATATACTGGACTTTGAACAACGATACAAAGGACAGTATAACGAGAACATGATGGGAGACTACATTCGCGGGCTGATTTGTGAAAGTGGTTCACAGTTTCATCAAAAATCTCGAAAAACTACTCACTTCTAAATCTTTTGTAGTAATTTTTGTATTACTTTAGTATGAATACATATTCATTTTGATTTATAAGTTGTTTTTTTTACTTTATGTGAACGAAAAGAGACAAATTCGCCTGTTTTCTCATTGAAAATAGGTAAATTTCAAAATATCACTGTCCCGGTCACAAAAGCAAAGTTTGTGTGGAATAATAGCCATTTTCTATACTTTTTAGGCATAAAAAAAATTGTGTTACATACTGTCATGTAGGCATTGTCTTTGACATTGATTGGCCTACACCAGAGACAGCAGCCTTCTTTATGGCCTAGTCTCACTAGCAGTGTCTCACTAGCAGTGTCTCGACACAAGTGTCAAACCAGAGAACATTAAAAGGGGAACAGTACAAAACAATGGACGTATCAGAGCATTTATAACTCTACACGGCACCGTAGACTCAACACTGCCACCCATCGACTCAACACTGCACGCATGACTCAACACTTCCACCCATAGACGCAACACTGCCACCCATAGACTCAGCAATAACTCCATAAACTCAATACTGCCACCCACACACTCGGCACTGCCACCCATAGACTCAACACTGCCCCTGTACATTAAGCAGTCTTCCCTCTCCTTAAACTCTTTCCGTTCCCTCTCTTAAAGTCTCATCTCCTCTCCATCGTCACCCATTCCCCTGCCTCTTTCCCCTCCACCACGCCCCCCTCCACTTCTTCCTGATCCTTCCCTGTAACCCCTTCGCGCGATTCCCAAATACCCCCTCTATCACTGCCGTCACTCGTTACTCAATACCCTTGTAGCACGCCCCTTCCGCCAACTGCATCATTCCACTCGAAATCCCTCGCCTGGTATATAGTGGAGCGTGAGTTCAATCCCGACCCTGATGCCTGCTGTATATTTGGAGTCTGCTTGTCTCCCCGTGGTCGCATGGATTTTTCTCCAGGTCCTCCGTTTTTTCCCCCTGCACATTTAGAATCAACATCTCTACATGTTTAGAGTATTTGGCTGTTGCTATAAATTTTCACGTGATGATGATATCAGCCACTTCATTGAGCTGCTATCATATGTTAAAGCCAAGTCGCTTTTGAAAAAGAGCTACATAGCTCAGGGGGCATTACCTGGTAAAATTAAAATTGCTGAGAGTTTAGTATGTATGTACATAGCCAACCGCGCTAATTGGAGTTGAGGGGGAAGGACAAACTAAACAAAACAAGCAGTTCTAAAGAAATGAGTTTGTCGATCTAGATGATGATTTAAAAGTGTTCAGCTCCCAGTAATATCAGAACAAACAGCTTTCCATACGGCCGCAGAAGCGCATCTGAAAGCGCCGTGCGATGATGTGTTGACTGTCTTTGTTCGACAGCTAGGCAAAAGTTTAGTGTATAGTAGTGTGCAGTGTATAGCAGTGTATATAGTGTGCTGTATAGTAAAGCAGTGTCTATAGCATCTGAAAGCGAAGCGCGATGGTGACCACCATCTGAGTTCAATGGCCAGCAGCCAAATATCACTGCTGCTGCGAGGATGAGCGGAGTTCACGTGACGATGGTTTATTGTTCCTTGATGAGATCAGTAAGGTAAGGTGGGTCATTTGTGGCAATTGCACACTGTGTGTGTGTGATCAGTGCGACCTAATGCTGTATATTCGTTCGGCAATAGGAAGCTGATACAGCAACCGGGCAGACACGTTCAGATCTATGCAGTAACCCTTCACACGCTTGGCGTGCAGTGCCAGCCCTACAGGATAGGGTCTGGAAGTGCCGGCCATAGGAACGGGTTTACTATAGGCCATGACACTTCGGTTGACCCGAGAGGACATGTGACCAGTTAAGTCTACAAAGGGCCCCAGGTGGGGGCTCGGGTGGTCACGTGGTCTGGGTCGAGATCCTGCTAGAGGGTTCTGGAAGGTGGTCGTGGCCAGGGGCGGAGCCAGCCACGCCGCAGAGGATATAAGCCGGGTCCCCCAGAGGGACCGGCGTAGTTGTTCATCCTGTAGAAAACTTCGTCTATGTTCTACGTCCTATAGGCGGGGGCTAGGGGTGGTCACGTGTCAGGGTCGAGATTCTGCTCGAGGATTCTGGCAGGTGGTCGTGGCCAAACACGGAGACAGCCACGACCCGTGAGGATATAAGCCGGGTCCCCCAGAGGGACCGGCTGCTGTTGTTCATCCTGAATAATTATACGTTCTACGTCCTATAAGAGTCTCCAACACGTGGACCGGGACCCAAGCTGTGGTCTGGTCCGTTGTAGCTAGTTATAGTGTAAATAGTGTAGTTAACCTGGTGGTCACCACCATAGGTTGTTATTCTGTTAAGGGGCAGTTACTGTGTGTTGTTGTTAATAAATGTGTTGCCTCCAAAGAGTATGTCTGTGACTCAGTTGAACTCACTACAGATGCTAAAAAAGTGGTGATTTTTACCAGAACAAACTTACCCTGTGATAGCACAGCAGTCACACACGAGTCTTCCCCTGGTGCACAGGCCTGGTCGACTTCAGGAACTCCCAACCCGCTGCTTCCGAAGCGACAAGTACGACCATCAATCACTGCATGGCAAGGGGGGTGGTGGGGTGAGCTCATGGGAAATCGCGACATTCAACAGCATCGATACAGATCAGACCCAGAGAATAATAATAATAATTATTATAACAATAAATACTTTAATCTTATATAGCGCCATTTGTAGTGGTTGGCTGCACGCAGTGCGAAAGAAGCCCAACACACGCAGAGTTTAATTTGTTGTCCTTCCCCTGCACCTCCGATTAGTGCGGTCGGCGACGTACGGTGGAGTGAAAGAAGTTCAACATACATACTTACCATAGATAACACTACCCATCGACTCAACACTACCCTACTCATAGACTAATACTTCCCATAGACTCAACAATACCCATAGACTATATTCTTGGGTTCTTTCGGTAAAGTCACATCGGTAGCAATAAAATAAAACAAATCACGACGTTTCGAATGCAACACAAGTGTCAGTCATCAGGCGAAAACAAAACATTACCCATAGGCTTAACACTACCCATAGACTCACTGCCAATAGACTCAACGATGCACCATAGCCTCAAAACTGCACCTCCGATTAGCACGGTTGGCTACGAACAGTGTGAAAAAGTTCAACCTACACACATCAGTATGGGTCTTGGTGTGTTTCTGTGGGTCTCTTCTGATATTAGAATACAACTGGGCGATATGCACTTTTAAATAATCTAAACTGACAAACTCACTTCTTTAGAACTGCTTTTTGGGTTTAGTTTGTTGTCCTTCCTCCGCATCTCCGATTAGCACGGTTATCTACGTACGGTGCTAAAAAAAAGTTCACTGTACATTCTACACTTCTGTACACTACACACTGATGGTGGGAAGACAAAGCGAAAGAGATCCAACATCTTGCCGACATATAATATGCCTGGCTTTTTCAGTGCCACCAGAACCGCCTATGGTCCGAGCACTTGGGGAACAACCCCCCACTGAGGGCTAAGAATGGAGGAGATCTGATCAAGGAGAGGGAACTCAACACACGCTGAAAAGATAATTTTGAAAATAAGCGCAATCGAGACTCGTTTGTCGATAGTGTTTTCCACTCTGTTCCACAACACCCAATCAGAAATGAGCTTGGAACCCCCTCAACCCTTGATAACATGAAAGACATCAAGCAGATGAAGAGCAATAGGGGCTGGGAGCTGATGGAATCCCTGCTGAAATCTTCAAAAAAAGGAGAGGATCTCGACTAACGGCTCCAAGCGCTCACGTTGAAAATTTAGAAATACGAGGACATCCCGAACGACCTCAGAGATGCCATGGTTGTGACAATCTTTATGAAAGGACATACATCCGAATGTGGAAATCACAGAGGGATTGCCTTGCTGTCCACTGCAGGAAAGATAATTGCAAGAACTTTCCTGAACCGTCTTCTGCCACTTACTGATAAACTCCTCCCAAAATCCCAATGTGGGTTCAGGCCATCGAGAAGCACAACTGGCATGATCTTCGATGCTCATAAACTGCAGAAAACATGTCAGGAACACAAACCTCTCGACATTGACTTCTTTGACCTCACGAAATCCTTTAATTCTGTCAACCGAGGAAATACTGTAAAGATCCTTGAAAAGTATGGATATCCACCGAAATGTGTCACTTCTTCGCCTGCTGCATGGTGGTATGCGAGCAATGATTCTTAGTAATGGATCCATCTCACGCCACTTTGAAGTTAAAACTGGAGTCAAACAAGGCTGCGTCATTACCCCAACACTCTTCTCAATATTCTTCACTGCGATGCTACAGCTAACTACTGGCAAGCTTCGAGCAGGAGTGGAGCCAAACTAACAAATTGATGGCAAGCTGTTCAGGATCAACCGACTTCGATCTAAAACTAAGACCATCCCGACAGCAGTTGTTGTTGAGCTCCAGTATGCTGACGATGCTGTCGTGTGTGCCCACATGGAAGTGGATCTTCAGGCAATCAAAACTTAACTAAGGCACATGAGAAAATGGGACTGACGCTTAATATTTTAAAGATGAAGGTCCTTAATCAACCAGTTATCAATGAGCAGTCCCCACTTTCGACAATTTACATCCATTACTGGAATGCTGATGTTGGTAAATAATCCAGAATCCTCTGAAATTTGTAAGTGCAGCTTTTGGTCGGCTGAGAAAAAGGGTTTTTGAGGAATTTGACATTAGGTTCAAAACCAAGATCATGGTTTACCAAGCAGTCGTAATCGCTACCTTTCTGTACAGAACTGAGACGTGGATAATATACAGGAGACGTCTTAAAGCACTGGAGAAGTCCTATCAAGGTTGCCTGCAGAAGATCCTTCAAATCAGGTGAGAAGACAGACTCACAAACGTCAGCATCCTCTTGCAAACAAACACCACGAGGATTGAGGCCACGATCATTCGACGTCTTCATTATGCCTAACTCCAGCTTATTTGGGGTGTGCATTCAAGAGGAGGGCAGAGACAGTGCTTCAAGGATGTCCTGAAGGCCAACATGAAGAAGTGCACTATCGACACCAACTCAAGGGAGGCTCTTGCCCAGTATCACCTCAGCTGGAGACAGATAGTCTCTTTTTAGGATCCAAACATATTGAAACTCCAAAGGCGGAAACAGGAAGAGGAAAATCGGGAATGGTGGAAACATCATGCTGCAGCCCAACTTACTAATCCAGTTCCACCCACCACCCTTCATGTATTTTCAGACCCAAAGATAATTAAACTTTTCTATGGAAGACACTCATCCTCGATTGCGAGGGAGAGCCTATGATGATAACACAGCACATTACCCCACTACACTATGTAAAAAAAACATTTTTTTTCAGACTGCTTGTTTTCAATTCATCGTCCTTTCCCAAGCACATCTGATTAGCACGGTGCGAAATGAAGTTTAATGTACACACACGCATACTCCACATTACAGAAATAAGATAAAGGTGGGTTAAACAATCTGTCCGTCAATTGAAATCCACTACCGCCATTGCAGAGATCGGTCTGGCAGCAGGTGTAATTGTTCACGGTGCCGGTGAATGACGAGGCGATGCCGGTAATGTATTGCTTTATCTCCGTCTTGTAATCGGACGTCGCACACGCCGCCGTGACGCCACATCCCCTGAATTGGAATGTTTTGCCACCTGCAAAACAAGGAGGCGATCGCAAACTGTTTAGATCAACGTTGTAGTGACCTGGACCGAGTTTTATTGTCCCCCGCATAACCACCCCTCCCCAGAGCAGCTCAAAGTCACTTAACCTGGGGAATTGGTCCCACTAAACTAGAAACAATTTTTTTAATTTGCTAGATGTAAGGCCCCACTGAGCTATGTAGCTATTTTTCAGACAAGCCACCTGACCATCACAAATAATAGCAACTTAATGAAGTGACGGATAATCACGTGGAAATTTTAGCAGCCAAATACTAAACTAAACTATTTTTAATTGACCAGGTAAGGCTCAGAGCTACGTAGCTTTTTTTTAACATAAGCGACCTGGCCATCACAAATGATAGCTGAACAAAGTGGATTATCACGTGCAAATTAAATAGCAGCCAACTACTCAAGGGGAAAAAATCCATGCGACCACCATGGGGAGAAAAAGAGAGAGATGCAGCCTCCAAATATACAGCAGCAGGTTTTGTCAGGGTTGGGATCGGGATCGAACCCACGACCTCTATACAAGGCGAGGTAGTTACCATCTCCTAGCAACTGAGGGCTCAGTGGGCCTTGGTAAAATTACAAGTTTTGTTTAGTTCTCTCTCCACATAGACTCCCCCTTTTATCATAATCAGAATATATATTTAAACTCCAGGAGGAATCCAATGAGATATAAAGGCAGGTGGTAAGAGTGTTAAAAAAACGAACAATACAAAACACAATAATCGTGCAAAGTACAATAAAGGTAAAAAAATCACCTGTACACATACAAATGAAACTAAACCATGCCCATCCTGCCAGGAAAAGCCTATTGAGGTATTAACAAATTTTTGAGAAGTAAACTGGCTTTCACAAATTATAGCTCAATAAAGTGGCCCATTATTCGGACATTTATTGCAGTAAAATTATTTAAATGACCTCAATGCATGTTTCTAAACGTGGAGGAAAAAACCAGTGGACCTGGAGAAAAAATCCACGTGGCTACGAAGAGAACATGCAAACTCCCAATATACAGCAGGCGTCGGGATCGAACAAACGACCTGCATACCAGGTGAGGAATGTAATATCTCACCACCGTAGCACCCCTTTAATAAATAAATAAAGTATATAAGTTCAAATTGCGTAATCAATGATTAAGCTTCGGAAATGGGGCAGTTAACAGAAAAACAGCCTCAGACCACACCAAGACACAGTCCTTTAAAATATTTTTACATTAAAATGGAACTTAATACATTAAATGAATTAAATCTACAAATCACAATGGAAAATGTGACTATCCAAGACTAATTTTCAACATCCCCTCACCAACTGCAATGCCTCTTACCCCCTCCCTTATGTCATTTAAAAATCCACAATACTTGTCTGAAGGGGGCACAGGTAATGCAAAGGGGTTAGGGACCAGAGCAGGCAAGGGGTTAGGAAGCAAGATCGGTACGCAAAGCATACATGCCAACCCCTTATCAGTGCCTACCTTATTACAGACCAATTCAGACCTTATTGGTCACCCAATGTCCTTATAAATATCAACGTTCATCCTACAGAATCTCATCACAAGGCAGAAACACAAAGAAGTAGACAAAAACTATGTTTTGCCCGCATTGAAATAGCTGTGGGACATATGGTCCTGAAAGCTCAATTTCCCTGTACAATAATACGTGTAAAACCGTATGGGTTGACACGTATGGCAATGGTCGTCCAAATGATCTTCCCGGGCCAAACCGTTACCCTGCGTTAGGGTGGTGGTTAAGCAGGAGTCTTCGCCTGTTGCGCAGAACTTATATTCTTCGGTGATTCCCAATCCGGCACTCCCGTAGTAGCAGATCTTTCCAGTGGCTGCAACAACAAAACAAACCACGCTCGCATCAGCAAGTGATAGAAACAGAGAGAGGTCGATAATTAATGAGAGGGTACTGTAGCAAGAGAAGTCAGGTGGTGAAGGGATAATGAATGAGAGGGAGCTGTATCTAGAGTAGACACGTGGTGAAGGGATAATGAATGAGGGGGTCTGTGTAGCTCCGTTGATGCGTTTCTCGTCACGAGTTGTAAAAACCTCATGTAACTTATGAAAAGGTCGTACCTTTCTCTTCTTTCACAACTCGTCGGAGCTTTTTTACACAAGTACAGCACACCGGTTGTGTGTTGTAGAGTAAACCCACTACAACATTTAAAAATAGAGTGCCATGATTTTTCGCCAGTAATTACAACTATCAGCATCATCAGGCAACAACCAAAGTTGTGGAGAAATCGTCCTCCTCTCTTGGTCTTAAACAAAGCGTGACGATTTAGTTTAATTATTCAGCACTAACTGGTTGTTGTGTGTTGGAGAGTTCAAGCCACAATACATTTACACAAGTGTGTAGCTGGTGACGTTTCACTTGGGGTGTGATTACAACAACAAGCGGCTTATTTTGCCTGTCGCCTGATGGGTCTTAGTTTAGTTTGCCATTTGTCGGGAAGGTTTTACAGCAGGTAACCCACGAAATAAAGGGGGGGGGGGTGAGAGTGGAAATCCATCATTCGAAATCCCAACTTACCGCCGTTGCAGAGTTTGGACTGGCAGCAGCTGTAGTACTTGACGATGCCCGTGAACGAGGGGTTCATGCTCACGACGGATTGTCTCATCTGCATCTTAAAGTCGGGCGCGTTACATTGTGCCTGGGTGGTGCAATTTTTTCCCGTGAACATTCGATCGCCTGCAAAACAAACGCATGTGAATTGAGAGTGGAAACGGTAATGTACTTTTGTTTAGCCAGAGTGTGTGTGAGCTTATCTGTGCTTGATCACACGTATATAATCGTGCACTCTGCTAATAGCTAGGCCATAGCCAGGTGTGTTTTTATGATCAGGGATAGGTCCCCGAGGCCCTTTGTGTACAGCATAGTACGGGGCACACACCCCCCAAGTTCGATTGGTGCGGACTTTCGTGCTGTTAAGATGCATAGCTCCAATAATATGTGTGTAAAAATTATATTGCTTGAATGTCTATCGACTGACAGGAGGAACTCGGTAATGTTAATTGACCGGTCAGTTATTGGTGGTAATGAAGATGTTGCACGATTAAGACGTTGATATTAATGTTGATTTCACGTGAAATACTTGTAATAATTGGGTCTGGAATATGAACACCGGCACTCGATCCCATTTACACTTGGAGGAATTGAGCTGCGGTGTTGTGCGACATGGAGGGGTGATGAAGAAAGTGTCCGGTCGCTCTTGCAGATATGCAATTGCCCCTTAGGGAGAAGACCATTTGACATTCAATTTTTGCCGTCACACAACCCCCCCCCACCCCCCAGCTGTTGCGGAATCGCCCACTTTCTCTTCGGGAGAGACAGAACACAACACTGAGTATATCAATTTATTCATCGTCATCTCTCCAATTTTATTATTTCGTAATCGTTGTTGCGGTCGTGTATTTAGCTGACATGTCCCTCCCCCCACCTCGTTAGAGGGGCAGGGCAGACTGGCTGCATTTGCATTGCGATCACCTTGCTGGAAGAGACAGGAAAGACTTCTGATCATTTTTCGATTTAAAGCTTTCGTGACTGCAGGGATTCATCTTCTTGGTTCTTTCGGTAAAGTCACGTAGAAGGGAAGTAATAAAATAATAAAAATAAAACATAATAAAACAATTCTCACGACGTTTCGGCCACAACGCAAGCAGCCGTCCTCAGGTGAAAACCAGGTCCGTCGAGGCGACAGAGTCTGAATGAAACAGCACACGGGCTTAGAGCATATATATAAGCTGGGCGCATTGACAAAGGAATTTGCATATCAACAGGAATTTAGCATATTTATGGGAAATGCAGGAATGTAATTAGTACTGCATATGCATGTGCATTATGCAGGATTAACAGCATCAAAGGGAGCTGCAGTTACTGCTGCTGCAGCAGTTGCTGCTGCTGCTGCAGTTTCTGCTGCTGCTGCAGTTGCTGCTGCTGCTGCAGTTGCTACTGCTGCTGCACTTGCTGCTGCTGCTGCTGCTGCACTTGCTGCTGCTGCTGCACTTGCTGCTGCTGCAGTTACTGCCTTATCCATTTTAATATAACACTATGTATTATTCTACCCACCCTAATGTGTATCATACTGCTATATGTTTACTGTACAATTACGACACCATACATTACTCTGCACACTGCACCATGCCAGTGAGTGGAACGCGGTCTGAAAGTCACCGTTAACGTGAACACAATCAGTTAAGATCCGAAATGGTTTATTACGTCCTTCCAATGATTGCTAAGCCAGAATCCATCTTCTCGGTTGAAATTGTCTCTGTGTTTGTATATGTGGATCGCCTCATGAACGAATCTCTCATGATAGCCAGATGGCTTGCAGAGAACCTCTGTCTTGGAGAAGTCAATGTCATGTGAGCCCACTGAATTGTAACAGTGATCTGCCACGGCTGAGGTGTTTGTCCTACCGTGTTTCAGGTCTGCCTTATGTTCACGGATGCGGTCCGAGACATGTCGTTTGGTTTCTCCAATGTAACTGCTACCACAGAGGCAACTTAGTTTGTAGACGCCAGGGTACTGTATGTCTGGAACCACATATTTTACAGACGGGACCAGATCACGGATTTTATGTACTGTGTTGAATCGGACCTGGATCTTGTGTTTAATCAGGATTTTGGAGATCTTTTTTGTGACCCCAGCAATGTAGGGTAAGGTGATGGTCTTGAAAGGCTCCTCAACAGGATCCTTCTTGATGGTTGGAGTGATGGCTTTGCGGATTGTGTAGTCGGAGTAACCATTAGCCTTAAGAGCTTGGCGTACGTGTTTGAGTTCACTGGAAATGTGTTCATGGTCGGAGATGCATTGGGCTCTATGATATAGAGTCTTGATGAGGGAATTCTTCTGGGATGGATGGTGGTGGGAATCCGGTTTTAGATAAGCATCCGTGTGAGTGGCTTTCCTGTAGACAGAGTGGCTCATTGAACCATCAGGTCTCCTTTTGATTAGGACATCCAAAAAGGGTAGCTTGCCATCATTTTCGACTTCCATGGTGAATCTGATGGCTGGGTGTATGGAATTGATGTGGTCGAGAAATTGGTCTAGAGCAGGCCGGCCATGTGGCCAGATGACAAAAGTGTCGTCTACGTACCTCTTCCATAAGGTCGGGCGTAGAGTGGCAGTCTGGATGGCGTCCGTCTCAAATTTCTCCATGAAGATGTTGGCTACAACCGGAGATAGGGGGGAGCCCATTGGGGTGCCCTCAATTTGCTTGTAGAAGGTTCCATTCCAGGTGAAGTATGTATTGGTTAAGCAGTGTCTCACCAGGGGGGGTACCCCAGCATTCAGTCCTTGATGAACCAAGTCTTCAATGATTGCGATGGTGTCAGGCACAGGCACCTTGGTAAACAAGGAAACCACATCAAAACTGACAAGCAGGTCGTCTGGGGACAGGGCAATCCCCTTGATTGTCGATACCAGGTCAGTAGAGTTTAGTACTGCAGAGGTGGTTTTTCCAGTGAAAGGCCGTAGGATTTCGGACAAAAAACGAGCCAGTTTGTAAGTGGGGGAGTTGATAGTAGAGACAATGGGACGAAGAGGTGTATCTTCTTTATGTATCTTTGGCAAGCCGTACAATCTTGGTGGCCTGGCTGCAGAAGGTTTCAACGAGAACTGTTTGGTCTGATCAATTAATGCGGTTGAAGCAGAAATGATGTTGTTGGTTTTGGAGACGAGGCTGTTGGTGGGGTCTCTTTTTATTTTTGTATAGCTGCCATCGTTGAGTAGTTCTTGAATTTTGTTGTTGTATTCTATTTTGTCCATGATGACAGTGGCATTGCCTTTGTCGGCTGAGAGGATGACAATGTCATCCCTCTTTTTTAATTGAGCTAATTCAAAACGCTCATCTTTGCTAATGTTGCTAGCTGGCATCTTAGCGTTTTTGAGGGTTACAGAGATTTCAGATCTTGCTACGTCTGCAGCGATGTGACTCAAGCCCTTGAGAGCTACATCTACTCGAGCAATTATATCATTAACTGGTATGTGTCTAGGTGTGACTGCAAAGTTTAGTCCTTTAGCTAAAACGGATTTCAAACCTTCAGAAATAGGACTGTTACTGCGATTAATTACGACTTTGTTAACATCTAGCTTTTCAATGTGTGGGTCCGGTTTCTTGTTTGAGAGGCGGTTGAATTTGGAAATCAAGTTGTCCTTACATTTAGTCGACATAGCGGCAGCTGAAGAGGCAGTCATTTTTTCCACATGTTCCCAATCCGATGTGGACATTGTTACACTCAAAGATAAGTGCGATTTGTAGAGTGTCTTGTCTAACTGATCTAGTTCGGTGCGCGTAAGTCTGATTTTCTCTGAGATAAGAGCTAAACTAGTTCTAGACAGAATTCGTTTCGCATTAGAAGAAGTTACAGCAGCAGATGTTAGTGTAAATGCGTTTGGTATTACCTTAGAGTCGCGGCATCTCTTCAGAAAGGTGAGAGACTCGATTAGCTGAGCCTTCTTATCCCGGAGCTTGTTGAAGGATCTCAAAGTTATGTGGAAACCCTCCCCGTAGAGGCGGTTAAATTTCGATTTAAAGCTTTCGTGACTGCAGGGATTCATCTTCTTGGTTCTTTCGGTAAAGTCACGTAGAAGGGAAGTAATAAAATAATAAAAATAAAACATAATAAAACAATTCTCACGACGTTTCGGCCACAACGCAAGCAGCCGTCCTCAGGTGAAAACCAGGTCCGTCGAGGCGACAGAGTCTGAATGAAACAGCACACGGGCTTAGAGCATATATATAAGCTGGGCGCATTGACAAAGGAATTTGCATATCAACAGGAATTTAGCATATTTATGGGAAATGCAGGAATGTAATTAGTACTGCATATGCATGTGCATTATGCAGGATTAACAGCATCAAAGGGAGCTGCAGTTACTGCTGCTGCAGCAGTTGCTGCTGCTGCTGCAGTTTCTGCTGCTGCTGCAGTTGCTGCTGCTGCTGCAGTTGCTACTGCTGCTGCACTTGCTGCTGCTGCTGCACTTGCTGCTGCTGCTGCACTTGCTGCTGCTGCTGCAGTTACTGCCTTATCCATTTTAATATAACACTATGTATTATTCTACCCACCCTAATGTGTATCATACTGCTATATGTTTACTGTACAATTACGACACCATACATTACTCTGCACACTGCACCATGCCAGTGAGTGGAACGCGGTCTGAAAGTCACCGTTAACGTGAACACAATCAGTTAAGATCCGAAATGGTTTATTACGTCCTTCCAATGATTGCTAAGCCAGAATCCATCTTCTCGGTTGAAATTGTCTCTGTGTTTGTATATGTGGATCGCCTCATGAACGAATCTCTCATGATAGCCAGATGGCTTGCAGAGAACCTCTGTCTTGGAGAAGTCAATGTCATGTGAGCCCACTGAATTGTAACAGTGATCTGCCACGGCTGAGGTGTTTGTCCTACCGTGTTTCAGGTCTGCCTTATGTTCACGGATGCGGTCCGAGACATGTCGTTTGGTTTCTCCAATGTAACTGCTACCACAGAGGCAACTTAGTTTGTAGACGCCAGGGTACTGTATGTCTGGAACCACATCTTTTACAGACGGGACCAGATCACGGATTTTATGTACTGTGTTGAATCGGACCTGGATCTTGTGTTTAATCAGGATTTTGGAGATCTTTTTTGTGACCCCAGCAATGTAGGGTAAGGTGATGGTCTTGAAAGGCTCCTCAACA